TAACCGATTAGCATCTAAATTACGTTAGTTACAATGAATTCTGCAAGCATACTGAAAATAATTACTAGTTTAATTAATTAAAGGTGCCCAACAGGCATGGTACAATTCATTAGCACAAAGAAAAATATATGATTTTATACAATATCTGTAGTGATAAAGGAAAGGTCTATAAATTAAAATCATAATTCTGTGTTACCATAATAAAATGGCTAACCAAGGACTGCAAATGACTGAGAAGAAAATACCACTGATAACTCTTCAGTGGAAATTATATGGAAGGTCTGGAAAAAGTTACAGGACAGGGGGAGGAAATAAGTTAGTAATTTTATTTAATTCCTAGACATTCAGGACAATCTCGATGGCTGTCCTTGTTCTAATGGGTAAGGTGTTTGGCATGAGTTTACTGGGAAGAATGTAAACTGAAGGTAGGTAGAAGTCAATGTGCCAACCACAGTTCTGTCATTTATAAGCTGCATGATCCTGGATAAACCACGTGGTATCTATTTGGCCTTAGAATTCACATAAATAAAAGAAGGATGATTTCTAGAACCTGTTTATAACATTAAGAAATTCTGCAGGTTTCATATTCAAGCCTGTCTAGCCTTCATATCCTGTAGTTGCCACTACAGACTACAAAATCTATGAGCAAGGACTAAAAATCAAACCAAATAGCTAGTTGTAGCTTTTAGGCAAGGCCAAACTATATACTAAATTTGGTAGATCTGGTGAGGCCAACTTTTTACTTTTCTATTAACACAAGAACCTTGCCCTACTCTGGCTACTATTTGACAAGCAAAGATGCTTGAACTAAACGAAGTTCACAAAGTGAAAAAGTTAGCCACAATGAGTCTGACAGATCTGTTTTTCCTGTATCTTCCTAACCTTGACACCTAATCTGTTTGCACCAGCTGTAAACTACAGACCAGATCAATGAAAGATGCAACCTCAAAATTAAAGCTCAGCTAAGGTTCTAAGCTTAAGAGGTTCACTTTAAAACTTGGGTGAGTTACAAAGAAAAAATATGTTGGTATATACCATAAGGCTCCTAAACCATCCTAAGGAAGACAAAACTCACATCACAAAATAATACTTTTAAATCCATATAGAGTCTTTTATAGAGTAACTTAAAAAACATTTTACAAAAAATTACCCAATTAACTTTTCTGTCACTTCAGTGAAAAGTTAACGGTATTATCTGATATTTTCCAAAGAAGTTAAAAAGAAACAAAGGAACTAAAGTTACTCACTTTGCCAATTACAGAGCTTCTTAATTCCACATCCAGTGTTTTAAACTTGTGAAAAAAGATGCTCAGCTCCATGACAAATTATATTAACAGAAATACCTCAGCCTTTTGAAAAAATTTTGACTTTCCACAAGATGTACATGCAAGAGATGGTGTACTGTCTTGCTTAGCATTTCACCTAATCACTTAGTTCAGCATATGCCACACTGTAGGTATTCTCTGTATATTTACCCGAATAAAGCTATTAATGATAGCTAATAATTACTAGAGTTCATGTATCAAGTACTGTGCTAAGTGTATTACATATATTGCTTCACTTAATCCTACTAACAACTCAAAGAGGTAAGTAAATCATTCTCATTTTACTGATGAGAGAACTGAAGGCCTAGGTTAAGTAACTTGCCTAAGATTATACACAGATAAAACCATGATTTTTACAAAGGTAGTCCAACTTTAGACCTTGTTTAAAGATCATTACAGAAAGAATAGATTAGAAGTAAGAAAGTCTGTATTTTATTTCCTTTGTCACTAAATTCTTGGAGATAATGTCTAGCATTGTACCCTACTCATATTTTTCTTCATCAAATGTTTCATGGATAAAATTAAAATTGCACAAGCAAATTAGGTTTCATTGGCCTCAACAATGTAAAATGGAGATAAAAGTACTTGCATGGTCTGTCTCAGTGGTTCTCAAAGTGTCATCTCTAGACCTGGAAACTTTGTTAGAAATACAAATTCTCAGCACCCTCCCCAAACCTACTGAATCACAAGCCGGTGTTTTCACAAGCCCGTGTTTTAACAAGCCTTCCAGGTGATTCTCATGCATGGTGGAGATTCTCATATATCAGTCTACCTTACTAGCTAATTATATCAAATGATTTCAACAATGTGAAAGTACCCTAAAAAGTGAATCATGTATCATCATTAAAAGCATAAATTACATTCCTTAAAAAAACTTAGTGATTTTGCTAAATCCAGATAAAAATGAACATGAGAAATGAAATAGGTCATAAAGCACCTTTTTTTTTAAAGGTTTTATTTATTCATGAGAGACACACACACACACAGAGAGAGAGAGAGAGAGAGAGAGAGAGAGAGAGAGAGGCAGAGACACAGGCAGAGGGAGAAGCAGGCTCCATGCAGGGAGCCCGATGTGGGACTCAATCCCGGGTCTCCAGGATCATGCCCTGGGCTGAAGGCAGGCGCTAAACCATTGAGCCACCCAGGGATCCCCCATAAAGCACTTTTAAAATAAAGTATCATTCTAGATTTTACCTTGGTATGTAGAGCAGTCATGGATCCAGAGAAAAAGATGACCATAAGCCATAAAGCTGTGCCTAGAAATCTGATAATTGGAATGTGGCAGTTCAATCTAGAGATGTGAAATACCGTACAGGCCTCTTACCTGACCAGTGTCCAGTGGAGGTGCCAGATCTGTCTGTACAGGTCTCACTTACAGGTCTAAACACAGTTTCCCATCCACCAGTAGCATAACGCCAATTCTGAGATTCCAAGATGAGTGTTCGCTGAGTACCATATGCAATCATGAAGCAATAGACCACATGATGGAGTTGACAGCCATAGCCACAGCCTTTGTTGATATTACATACCAGCTTCTTGGCTTTGCTGCAGTCCTTGGGATTCTGTCAGGAGGAAAGACAAACAAAGGTGAAGAGAGGTCATCTTCTTTTTCTAAATGACAAGTGTCAAAAATCATATAATAAGCGAGGACTGATCCAGTGTATCTTACTAAGCAAAGAATCCAGCTTTAAGGTTTGAATTTCAAAGAATCCACTGAAAGTTTATTATAGAGAGATGGCAATGAAAAAGAACAGTTGCTTTGGAAATATCATGAAACAAATATGAAATGAAGCAGTTACACTGAAAAAAATACTTTCATTTCTCTATCATTCAGAACATGTAAGTATGATCATCTCTGAACTCAAAGTTGCATACGTTAAGATCTTTATGAAAGAAGTGAAATAAGCTAGCTGTCCTTCAGCATGCTGTGCTTACCTTCCCAGCTGAAACTCAAATAATCTTAAATGAAAAACTATAATTTACCTATTAATTCCATCTTCCTCTAGAGTCAAGTGTCACAAACAAAATGTACTTTTCATTATGGAAGTGAAACTACTGAATAAATAAATATGATTAATAATTACAAGATGTTAGTTACAGGACTTTAAAAAAAAAAACCCTAATCTTGATGATGGCTACTAGTAATTTTCACAATAAAATGTAGACTATGTTCTATACTGTCTTGAGACTGTATTATGTCAATTTTTTTTGGTCATTGAAGTATAATTAACATACAGTGTTATGGTAGTTTTAGGTGTACAACATAATGATTCAACAATTCTATACATTGCTCAATGTTCATCATAAGTGTAGTTCACCATCTGTCACCAAACATCATTACAGTATTATTGACTATATTCCCTAAGCTTTACTCTTCATCTCTGTGACTATTTTACAACTGGAAGTTTGTTTACCTCTTAAACCCCTTTACTTCACCCATTTGCCCACCCACTGTTATGCCAATTTTTAATCAGGAGGTCCATTTTTCTATTTGTCATCTGCTCAACTGATGCTCAAAGATGAACAGCAAGTGGTTAAAACACTTATTATTATCTAACAGTGGATGTGATAGGGTTAGTTAATGAGAGATGCCTTTTTTATTCTAAAGCTTCAACTCTGGGGCACCTGGGTGGCTCAGTGCTTAAGCATCTGCCTTTGGCTCAGGTCATGATCCCTGGGTCTTGGGACCGAGTCCCGCATCAGGCTCCCTGCTGGGAGCCTGCTTCTCTCACAGGTTCTTAGTTTATATGAGTCTTGAAAAAAAAAGCAGTTGCCAAACCACAAACCTAAAACTAATCTTCAGGGATATCATCTGTTCTGTCAAGAAGAGTCCTAGAAACAAAAGTTAGGAATGTGATGGTATAAAATGATTCTGAAGGAAAAGCTGGGAAGGGAAAATGCAACATGGTTACTTTCAGAAGAGGTATCTTTTAAGATCAAATGTGCCATAGCAGGCTGATCTTTTTAAAATCAAAGCTCTTGTTCATCAAGAGCCCTCTGAAGAGTTAGAACCCTTATGAATTTGAGAGAATCCACATAAAATTCAGCAAGATTTGGTCAATACTGTTTTCCCAATCAAGTACTAGAGTTGCTGATTCTTTTCACTTTTGAACTCCAGTTGGTTTAGCTGCAAAAGATTTGAGGGGAACAGAAGAGTATGAGATGTGCTATTGAAAGACTAATATCACTTACTTTCTATCCAATATTGTAGAATAATCCTGGGAATAAGTAACATTCTCAAACTGATCCAAAGCTTTATTTTAACTCAATAGTTTATCAAAAGGGCAAATAAAGAACACTGACATTTGTCAGATTTTTCAAGATTTGTAAGAAATACAGCACTTGAATATCTCTAAAATTCCTATGAATACAAAAGAAAATATTCATTATATATTTTCAATAGACCTTTTTTAGAAGTTTTTATTTTATTTTTTAAATTTTTTTAAATTTTTTTTTTCCTAGGCAAAGAACTTTATTAACCTTGTTTCAAACTTTATTCCCAGGCTTCTTCAGCTTAATTAGCTGCAAAGAATTAATTGTGTATAAGCAAAAACTGAAAAGAGCTGCAGTGTCCAAGGGGCTTGGTCTTAAAAATACTAGAGATCTATATTTTTATTAGATCCATGAACAAAATTTTAAAAAGCAGTCATAATATAAAATAGCAGCTCCCAGTAACTGCTTCAAGTTTTATCTTCTTCAGAAGTTGACTCAATTCAGTTTGCTTCATTCTTGGAAGCTTCATCAAAATTCTCCACAACATCTGGAACTTCATCATCATCATCCTCTCCGGTAGCAAGTGGTGCTTTTCCACCCACGGATTGTGTGGGCAGAGCTTCAGCCAGTCTTCTTAAACTAGTCAGACTGTCTGCACCAAGCTGGTTTAAGATACTGGGTAGCATTTCTGTCAGCTGCTTTGTCTCAGCATGGCCTGTAATGGTGAACGTGTTCGCTGCCAGCGATGCCTGAACTTTAGGGTTGTTAAGATAGATCACTGTTCCTTGGTTTGTGAACATATTCAGTTGTTCAATACCAGAGATACTGTTTACCCCTAACTTCTTTAAGGAGAACTGAAGTTTTTTATCATCTGCTGTAGCTGTTCTATGAACCACCTTCTTCTTTCAGCGAGCAGTTCCTTTCCCACCAATGCGCACTTGTGCTTGCAGTTTGGCGAGTTTCTCCTGGTTCATGATAGTTTCTTTCATCTTGTTGGAGCGCAAATGGGACCGCGCGGGGGACTAGGGTTGGCGCTCGGGGGGTCTCGGGCGGACCAGCTGAGGTTAGGCACACACACGCGGGGACGCAAGATGGCAGCTAGAGGCTAGAACAGTTTTTAGACATATAGAATTATTGCAAAGAGTACAGAGATCCCATATATATATCCCAGTTTTTCCTATTATGTCTTACATTAATCTTTTTTTTTTTTCAAGGAAAAAAAGAGTGAGGGAACATAATAATTAAACATTTGAAACTAAGACTTTTTAAATAAAGAGAAGATATATATGCATTTATTTTTTTAAAAGATTTATTTATTCATGAGAGACACACAGAGGAGCAGAGACACAAGCAGGCTCCATGCAGGGAGCCCGACATGGGACTCGACCCCGGGTCTCCAGGATCACACCCTGGGCTGAAGGCGGTGCTAAACTGCTGAGCCACCTGGACTGCCCGACATATGCATTTAAGACAGGCACACCGCTTATGCTTCCAGAGTTTAGTTAGAATGCAATGCTTTGAGCACAAGAACTGAATCCTGAAAGAAAGAAATGGCCAGTTTATGAAATGAAGCTCAATTCAAGAGTTTTAGTGCTCCTCAAACCAAGCTAAATCAAGAATATATTAAATCTGTTAAATCATAGGTAACGTGGAGAAAGGAAAAAAATCCATTATGTTTGGTTCTGGAATGAAAAAGGTCTACAAATATACAGGGTAATCAATGGAAGATTCCAAGGCAGAGGCTAGCAGTAAGAGAAGATAAAATGAATGACTAGAATGAGAACAGTTACCAAAGTACTGAAGAAGCGCAGAATCACAGCTCAATTTTTTCACAAAAATATTTCCAAGTCTGAAAAATTCAAAATGTCTTGTTCACAGAAAGGCAAAGAGACAGTGAGAAATAGAAAAAAATACATGTGTGTTTCTATCATAAGATTAGGTTCACCAGAATAAATGTCTAGAAAAAAACAAGCAGATATTTATAAGGTAAACAAAGCAACAATTATTAAGATGGAAAGGATCCTTATGGGACAACCTTTACCTGACCTAAGTCTTTGTTAGCCATCACTGTTACAGAGTAGTAACAGATATTTATAGGAGTCTATAAAGGGGACACAGAACCTTTGTTACACACACACAAGTGTGCGCATATATACTTATGCATAATCTTCAAATTTCTTACCAAATAGTCTTTGTCAATTGCCACTGATCCTGGTTTTACACTTTCTGTCTGCAAAAGGCTTGCAGGTATGTCTCATCCATAAGCAAGCATATACAGACGGGCCTCATTACTAAAAGAAGCTATAATTATGCTAACACTTTAACAGGGTAGCTATTTCTGATGATAAAACCTGTTTTTCAATTGTTTCTAGTATGCCTAATGCATTTTATTTTCTAATTCTCTATCAATTATACAAGGATGCGGGCATATTGCTTTGTTCTATATTGTGATTCTTTTGATCTTTCCCCTCCTTTCCTTTTATGACACTCTCCACTCATCACACACACACACACACACACACACACAGACACATTGTGCGTAGAATATGATAGGATACATCCCCAGCAGAAGTCCTACCAGGAAGTACTTCTCATCTGAGAGTGGAAGATGGGGAAATACAGATTGAAAGTACACCTCTTAGGTCCCCAAGACATAAGAGCAAGAAGGTCTCACCTCTTCCTGCCTTGGGTATCACTCACTGACCAAGTATAGGTGAACTTTTGTTCATTAAATAAGTATTTATTAAACACTTAATATATATAATAAAACTCAGGAGATGACAATCCAATAGATTAAGAAAAATCACTTTCAGCTGGACTGGAAAGGGTTATGAAGAAAAATTTGTATTTAAGTTAAACCTTAAAAGGTATAATTTATTGTCGTTTCTGAAATGCCAAGTAAAAGTACTTTTTTTTTCATTATTAAATAAGAGTCTATATTGCAAAGAGTGATGGTTAAGGGCAAAGTAAAATTATAAACTCTCTAAATTATACTTGTAATGTGGGATTTTTATATATAGGGTCTTCTTGAAGTCAAAGTCATTAATAGGCTCATATATTCTTCCTTGAAATGATGATGATTATTCAAGTTTTTGAAACAGGAGGTAATTTTGTCAAAATTATTTGAGACAACATGCTTAGTTAAGGAACTTTGCACAGAGAGGTTTAAGATAAAATTTTGTTCTAATTCAGTCTCTGTTATGAATTAAATTGTGTGATTTTTGCCTCATTTTCTTAATTTAAAATTGTGACAAAAATTCCCTCCCTCCACAATCTCTTTCTGCGTACCCATCCCTTCCTTCTCAGAGATACAAGGAAGCTAAATGACATGGTATATGCTCAAAGCTAATTCAAACATACTATCTCATTTATCCTCATAATCTCAAGAGACATTATTTCACAATGGATAAATGCAGTATCTTTTGCATTTAGTGCTACAAGGTGGTCCAATTATGGAGCTTTATAAGCTAACAATGTTATGTAACATTTTTACAGTTATAATTCTGCAGCAAAGTTAACACTATAGTAGATATAAATCAAGAGATAAGGACTTAAGATAAAATAGGGTTCTTCTGTATTCAGTTTCCTTCTCTTCAGCTTATTTTTTAAAACACTATCTGAGGCATTTTTTCTGACACTGCTAGTTTCCAAGAATGATCCTAGATCAACAGAACCAAAAGCAGTGTTTGTTCTCATTATCCTATAAATCAAAATTGAGAAGTATATTAAAATCAATATGCCTCTAAGATGGTACATTAAGAGAAGCAGCATCTCTTAAACCTAAATGATTACTAATTCACTAAAGGCATCATCATAATGCTGAAATATTTTAATCTTTTTTACTTTGGTTAAAATATGAAAATTGTTACCATTGAATGTATTTCAAATTACAAAAAGCCATTTTAATTTCTACTTTGCTAAAAAAGAATAGTTTTGAATCAACTAGCAAACCAGAATTATTCTTATATTAAGTAGGCACTGCTAAGATTTAGAAGTTTCCACTGCCTTCACCTAGTAATAAACCAGTAGTAATTGTGAATTAATGATGTAACATTATAAAATAGTATGGATTCCATGGCTTTTATTTTTATTTTTTTTTCTTTTTCTTTTTCCATGGCTTTTAAATTAAATCAAAGATAATGCCTTTTGCCCACAACTATTTAGGTTTCCAATAGGCTCAAGTAAAAGGCTCTTCAGGGGAAAATTTTCCAGGCAACATGTAATTTTCCTCTTATCTGCCTAGATTTACTACAGACCAAAAACATTACATTAAAAGGCTAAATTCACAACAAACAAAAAAATTTAGTCAATATAAACTGGACATATCTCCAGGCATCTCTTGCAAAGAGTAAATGCTCAATAACCATTAGTTCAGTTGAATTGTATGTAGGGAGACAAAGATGATGTCAAGCTGACAGTACAAAAATAAATTAATTGGTGACAAGCTAGAATTTAGAATTTGGCTCTTTCAATCTATTGTTCAATGCTCTTATCTATCTTCCCATGATGTCTTTAATACAAGATTCAACAAGAAGTGCACTCAGAGCACTTATCTGGTTACTCCCCAGCTTTATGGACATATGTATACTTGATGAATAAAAATTGAATATATTTAAAGTGTACAACATGTTGATATATATACATACACACCATGTAATAATTACCACAATCAAGCTAATTAACATAGCTATTGCTTCATATTGTTACAATTTATTTATTTATTTATTTATTCATTCATTCATTCATTCATTCATTCATTCATTCATTCATTCATGAGAGACACACACACAGAGAGAGGTAGAGACACAGGCAGAGGGAAAAGCAGGCTCCATGCAGGGAGCCTGATGTGGGACTCCATCCTGGAACTCCAGGATCACACCCTGAGCTGAAGGCAGGTGCTGAACCTCTCAGACACCCAGGGATCCCCAAAAATTTACTTTTTGGTGGGGAGATCACTTGAGATCAAATTTCAAGTATATAATGTCAGTATTATTATTATTTTTTTATAATGTCAGTATTATTAATTATAGTCAGCATGTTGTACATTAGATCTCTAGAACCTACTCATCCCACATAAGTGAACCTTTGTACCTTTGGTCAACATTTCTCCATTTCCCCCAGCTCCTTGCTCCTGGTTATTACTGTACTATTCTATGCTTTCATGAATTTGACTTTTTTAGATTGCACATATGAGATCATGCAATATTTGTCTGTGTCTTATTCAGTCAGCTTAATGTCCTCCAGGTTCATCCATCTTGCAAAAGCAGGTTTTCTTATTTTTGTGGCTGAATAATATTCCATTTTATACACACACACACGCACACACACGCACGCGCACACACACATCAAAACCCTGAGGATCCTTCCAGCAACTCTCTAACAGCATGTCTTCTCTAGGGAGTAGTTAAGCCATAGCTCCTAGTTCCAATGAAGAGAGGTCAGAAAAACCAAAGGACTGAGCCAAGTAAGTTAAATTTTATTGTGCTCTTTGCTCTAATCACTAAATAGTTTTTAATTTGTTTGTTTAAAAAGATCTGCAACATCTAGCTTTGTGTTGGTGATGAAGAAAAGATTCATTAATAGTGTAGTGAAAACATTTCATTGTATTGGAAATAGTCTGATTTTATTTCTCTAAAATTATTTTCAGAACTGAAGGAGAAAAGGTAATGAAGCAAATAAGAGAACTGGAATACTGCACTGTGGTAATTAAAACAAAGACTCTGGGCATAGTTAATAACCATGAAAGACAGAGTTAAAAAGCATTCTCATTTTTAAAAGCCAGGACTGGAAATTATTGTCTTTTAACACATTAAACAAGATTATTTTCATAGTAAAGTTAAGATAGTATTGAGGTGTCCTTTCTACCCTTCTAGCAAAGAACAATTTGTTGCAAGTACTAAGAACAACACAATAGTTGAGGCACATACAGGCTAACAAATGCTGCAGGAAATCAATGTTCCTCTAGGTATTTTATAAGATTTTAAATGGGGAAACTTAATGGAGAAAAGATATCAAGATGCATAGTTTACAGGCTGTAATCCTGACACACTGAAGCAAAGGTCTATACAGTTATAGAAGAGGAAAGATCCTAGTAAGTAG